TCACTGACAGACTGACACTACTGACAGTGCTGACAGAGCGTCTTCTTCCAATGTTTTTCCTTTACGCAATCATTTATACATAATTTCACTACAAGGTGCCCCTTATGACGTCACAGCCGTTTTGAAATGTTATAAAAAAATCAGTTTTTAATAATTATTTTAAAACTGTTCTGACCCATTTCTCAATCTCTAATTGTGTATACACACCAGTTAGTACGTGTAGAATTATATTATCTACTTTTTGAAATTTAGTCAACAACCCTATTTATTGATGAACAAATTGATGAAGTTCTTCATCAATTAATTCACGAATTTATTGGTAAACAGTGTGGTTTTACACTGGTCACTGCTACAGACTTTGTCAAGTTTTTTGACATATGAATCAGTTCTACCAATGANCAGCAGACTATCAATTAAGAGTATTTGTGATAGTTATTATTAATTTCCTTATTGTAATGGATTCAACAAAATTTAAGTGGTGTTTTGTTCCACATTCCACATTGCCAATTGCATTATCTCCATAAGACTCCCGAACTGCACTATAAATGTCCATCAATAAATAGGTATTTCATGTATATAAATAATCACAATAAAATCATTCATTAAATATGTTGATCCTTACCTGACTGTTTTTATACCTCTGATTTCGCCAATATTAAATTTTTAAAAATTCAATTCATGATCATAAAAATATCAATTTTCAGTCAAATTTGCGAAGTAAGTAAGTAAGTAAGTAAGTAAAATCTTTATTAGTTCACTTTGCATAAGAATTACAAAATACCCTTAGGGTGTAGAACTCGTCAATATGTAGTAAAAAATAGTAAAAAAGTTAAATATTTAAATATAAGAAGTAATATTAAATATAAAACAAGATGCACACCAATACTAACATTGCTGATAAGTAAACACGAACAAAATAACACAATTAATGCACTGATACATACATACATAGTATAATGACAATAAATCAATATATATTATCTTCANGGTAGTGGGTATAACTATATTTAGGTAGATGTGACGCAAAATTGGAAATCTCTACACATATCGTTTTAAACATTTTGCATCAATATTCATTATTTTATATGCACCTTACAATAACCACAACTGCACACACTACAAATTATCACATAAAATAGCGTCAAAGTAAAGATGAATAACAACGAAACCAAGCAAACTGACAAACCGCAAACCTAACCTAACATAATACGAATTGAAACGACACACGGGAAACAAATAAACTCGGGCTGTTACGCGCAGTCTACGCAAGTCACAAACATTACATTTTTTCTAGACTTGTGTTATAAATATGCTACCACATTTTTTTTTCTAATTATGTCTTTGTATAACAAAGGCAAATGAACTAACGCTTGAGAAGGATTGGGGATTGAGAGCAAAATTTAACGAATGCCGATTGTTCCATAAGATAAGCAAAAATAGCAAAGGGTTGTTCGTCTGTTATGTTTCCGAGATCGAAAGGTAATGTTTCGAGTAATGTTTCAAACTCTCTTCAATTGTAACGTTTCGGCTATGTTTCACTAAATAAGTTTTCAAGTGCTACATTTCTGTAATGAAACAGAAACGTTTCTAGTTAATGTTTCAAATGTTTAGTAAAACATCTCATTTGCAACGTTTCATTTACGTTTCGTGTTTAGTGGGATGTCACCTTTCCACTCATAATTGTAGTGATACAACAGCGACACATATTATATAAATATATTAGTTTTTGTAAGTAACAAATCAGTAAAAACAATGCAAAACGATGCCACACAATTATTTACATATTCCAATAACATAACCTCATCATTACTGATCTGAGGCTGGAAATCTGTTGGGTTGGTACTTCTGAACTTCACGAAGAGGAAGAAATTGACGAAAACTAAAATATGTTCCAATTAGTCAAGAACTTGAATAAATTCATGAAGTTATTTGACAGCAGATTTGGTGCATTACACTTGTCCAATTTCTTGATGAAGCGACTTCATAAATTAATTGATCAATAAATTGTTAATGTAAAATAGCTATATGACTCTGCAATTAACTGAGAATTGTTTAGATCAGATAACTGATAACTGTTCCCTAAACCTAACACTCTAATCAAATGGAACACAGCTCATCTATTGACAAACAGTAGTTGATTTGACAGTTGACATTTCTAACTGACTTATGTTTGACATTGACATTTCTGAAAAAGTTGTAATATACATAATAATCGATTTAAAATTAATTAAACCATTTTTCAACAGTGCTTTTTACTTGTACACATTATAAAAGCAATGTCAATTAGAAGAAAACTCGATATCGGAAAACTATAATCAAAATAACCGACCTTCTGAATTTAGTATTACTTTATTAAGGTAGATTAATTAAGGATCATATCTATATTTTATAATTCTTTTATATTATTTTAGTTACCCAATATGAGTAGTTTTAATTATGCTGATATACATTCTAACAATAGACGGCATAATGCTGTTCCACCCCCTTCTAGTGGTCTTAGCAAACAAGGTTATTCTACTATGAATGCCATTAGCCAAAATGCTCTCTCTGCTGCTTGGGGAGGTACTAGCAGAAAAAGGGCTGCAACCGAAGATGAGTATGTTAATGAGTACCTAACGTTTTCCTCTTCTATGCCATACAATTAAAACCCCTTTTCTAGATATTTTGAAGAGGATGATGAAGAAGCTGTTCCTGATTTAGCATATATTCCTGCTCCTGACAGCCCTACAAGAATTGAAATGGAAAAGAAGAAAAGAGAAGAAGAGGAGGAAGACGATCCTCTAGATGCATACATGGCTGGCATTGAAAAACAAGTTAGTTATTTTCTTAAACCTCTTTTACATTTACTAATTTTTGAACCAAGAAATTATTATACATATATGAATTCATTATATTTCAGTCAATTTATTCATCAGATTTAAAGCTATTAACTTTTAAAATAAAAAGCAATAATAATAATGAACCATAAATCATGATGAAACTTATAACTTATGCCAAACTAATATAGGTAATTCACATATATTTAAAAAAAATTAAGTAAAATCTACGAAAATTGTAGATTTTGACTAAAATAGGTATAATTAAATAAACATCGAAAGTCACTAAAAATATCACAGTTTAAATTGTTAAAAATCATTAAATGTAAAGTAGGTTTCATTCTGTTATAATAATACAAATAAATGCTTAGAATATGCTTAGAAATATTAAAGCAAATATCAGAACACAATTAAATTACGATTAAATAAAAAATACTTTCAAGATTAGCTTTATTTACGGTGCATTCGGTACTACATATTACTGCAGTTATAAAATATTAGCCTATTGAACTTGGGACATTTTTTTATTTATATAGATGCAAGTACAGAAACAAAAATCCTGTACGTCTCAACAAACAGGTGTTCGTAATGATTTGGAAGAAGAAGATGTAGAGGAATCTTATTACCGTTACATGGAAGAAAATCCTAATGCAGGATTAGCTCCTCAAGACGATGAACACCCAGAAATAGAATATGATGAAGATGGCAATCCCATAGCGCCTGATAAAAAAAAAATTATAGACCCTCTACCTCCTATTGATCACTCTCTGATAGAATATAAACCTTTTACAAAACTGTTTTATGAGGAGCACCCTGATATTACATCTCTAAGTAACAGTCAAGTGTCAGAATTAAGAAAGACATTGGATATCACAGTTTCTGGGAACTCACCGCCAAATCCTGTAACATCGTTCCCTTATTTTGGATTTGATGATAAACTGTTAAAAGCAATTATTAAAGCAGAGTATTCCACACCAACTCCTATACAGGCTCAGGCAGTACCATGTGCTCTACTTGGACGTGATGTTCTTGGCATTGCACAAACGGGTGAGTGCTAAATTTCTTATAATTAACTATACTTTCTAATTCACTTAAGGATTCCCACCGTAGGGATCTGACAAATTTCAATGTAAAATGGAATTTCAAAAATGATTTTGCTTTTTCTCAACTATTTGAGGTGTACTTAAAAATAACAAATATTGAGCTACCCTAAAAGATCTCCCATATAAGATTTCATTGAAATATCTTTAAGGATGGAAACTGATGCATTTCTGGTTGCAGCCCTTTTTTTATTCCAATATATCTTTTTAAAGCAATGGAAGAAAGTAGTAAAATTTCATATCACATTTGGCAAAGTATAAATGAAGACAGTAAAGCAAAAATTAATTGGGATAGGTAAATAATTCGTGAGAAATTAATTTCTAAATATGAAGGTTTTTTGGACTTTTACAAAGAAACGATTATTTCTTCATAGTATTATAGAATTATGCAATTTTTTATATAGTTGTCTTTAAATAAATAAACTGATTAGACTTTATTTCATAGTTTGTTCATCACTTTATTATTTAAAAAGTTATATTGGAATAAAATAATTATTAAAAAATATTAATTCATGAATAGCATTATCTCCGACCTTTAATTCGCTTGATTTGTAATAGATGTCGCACTAGTAAAAATTTATTTATTAATAGACTCGGGTTATTTTTAACGAATAGCTGTATGTGGTTAATTTGGTATAACCTGATTCTGAATTGGTAGTCATGGTTTCTGTTAATTGATACGTAAATATTTAAAGAATGTCATGATCATTTTAGATATATTTTTGTATAAAAGTATATAAGTAACAGTGCAAGTCCATACTATTATATAATTTTAGAAAATATGAAATATAAACAATTTTTAGTTTAATTAAAACCATAATTTATAATTAATACACCTAAATTAGTATCTACGGTTAGTGGATAAGAGGGAAAACATTTTTATTTTCTATTCTACTAGAAAAAGTAATTCTTTACAAAAAATATTTTGCTTTTTAATTGAATATGTTTGTCATGAAAATAATATAAATAACGTTGAAGAATAAACTGCTTTTGTTTTTGATAATATAAAAATATGTTAATAAGAAAAGTTGTTCATAACGGAAAGTTATGTTATAATTACGATTTGTGAATAAAGCAGCTTACTTTGGTATAAACAGAAATGGAAAATATTATATTTTTAATAATTAATATTATTTAATTCTTTATAAAAAAATTCGCATATTAATATAAATAGAATTTTAATTGTGAATATACATAGTAATGAGAAAATTATGTACAAAAGGACGATTTGAGACTAAATTTTTTTTATGAGAAATAGGTATTCAGTTCACTTCACTTGAAAAAATAGTTGTAGGTACTTTAATACCTCCAATATAAACAGAAATTCTGTGGAACAGTGTAGTTTAATAAATATGTAAATAAATGAAAGTAATAAAGAAATAAATAGAACAGGTACAGTAGAACAGGAAAAAATTTAAAAAATCATAAAATAAAATTATTTCTTTTTATTAATTTGAGCTTCTATAATATATTCTGGATCCATACATCTTTTTCCCTGTGGAATATTTTTGTATATTATTTCTGGTAGTATACAATTTTTATAAAATTGTTCCAAATTTGTTGCCATTGATTTTTTCCATAATTCTTCATCATTCTTAATTTGATCTACATAGAGCGGGTTGTTTTCACCACTATAGGTATATTATGAAATAACATATAACATATAGACTTCTTCCGGTTATATTTAACTGTCTCTGTATCTGAAAGTAAGAAAAGAATTTTACCAGATAATATTTGTTATAAACATAGATAATTATACATTTTTACCTATTATGCTTTGATTTACCATAATGATATATCTAGTCATATATAGGGTGCCACAATAGTGCGATAAAGTTTAGTATAACTGCCTGTAGTAGTGATACGAAAAAAGTTACTTGCTCGGATTCACATTTTATTATTATTTCCATTATTCATTATTTTCAGATCGAATTAAACGTTCAGAAAATCTTGTTTTTGGCCTGAAGATTTTGCCCTATACAACTATAACTGAAAATAATTATAAACTTTGTCACACTATTGGAACAGCCTGTATGTGTATTGCAACGACAATATGTCATATTTATATTACGGCTAAGTAAGCGGAAAGTCGCATATGTAATTTTTATTTTCAAATAATCAAATACAATACCTACATATTTATTTTAATATCTATTATTTACTTTAATTTAGTACTAAGTACAACTATGCCTAGCAAATTGTAATACTTACTCTGTTAATGTTTTTTCCTTCATATAAAAAAAAAATAGTAAACTCCACAAATAAAATATTTCGCAGCCACAACGCAACAATAAAAGATAACAGCTCAAAGATTTATACAAGAAATAATTACATTTGCACCTACTCTGGTCCGAATCCATATAAGTACTAAAATGTAGAAAATAATATGAAATAAAACTTTTAGGTGGCTGCAAATATTATAAATTTGTACAACTACTTGCTATCCTCCTTTTTTGTAAATATGTACATAATAATATGTAGAAGATAGAAAATAGAAATATTTTCAGAACAAAAAACCGGCGGCCGCAAATTGGAGTTTTTATTTTATTACCCTTCTCTTTTCATATGCAATTATGAGATAGCAAGAGGGTGGGATGGACGTATAGGCCGGACAACTCATTATCGTGCATGTGTGTGTGCACCTGGCATTTTCTCGTTTTTTTTAGGTGTGTTTTGCCTGAATTTGAATGAATGAAATAATCGTACTATTTTTACTATAAACGTATTTCCTGTAGCGACATCTATATGAATATTGTAGTACTTTGTTAGATGAAACGGGACTTCAATTTCCATTCTTAAGTCATGGAATTCCCTTAAAGAAAAAAAAAATAAATAAAAATAACAAACTAAATTGTTTTTTTTTTTTACCAAGGAAGCAACCTTTGATGCATGGCCCATTTGTTTCCGGACGCCCTGTATATAATGAACAGTAATAAATTATTTACTAAACACCCTGCACTCACATAACTTTTCTAACAAGCTGTTAATTGAATTGAAAATTTTAAGGCATAATTATGAGGAATCCCTGGCAAATAACTGTCCAAAAATTACTATACAACTGCAAAAGATCACATTTGAATTCTAAAGCCTTGATTATATTGCCTCAGAAACATGTGAATCTAATAAAGAAACAGTAGAACTTTTATCAGGAGACTTTACACTTGTTTTAATAACATTTACATTACATTAAAACATTGCAAACATGTCTGTTATTAAAAGTATCCAACCGTCAAATTCCATATTGATTTCATGCCTGATAAGATGAAACTTGCATCAAAAAGCTTAAAAATGATTCTTCTATTGGAATTTATGGCCTATCTGTGATTTTCTTAGAAACTGCTTTCCATTTTCATGCTTCTTTGACAATCCCAAGTATGGTTTTGTATAATCTCTCCGAAGTCAGTTGAATATGTATTAAAATGTCTGGCAATAAAATTTAATGAGTTTCATAGGCGTCCCTAAAAAAGTTTTCTGCTAAAGGTAAAATATAATAATTTGTATATAATGTGTAGAAAATTTTCTTTTATATGTTCATTTAACCAACAACATATTTTAATTATTTATGTGCTCAAACAATTTTATTATATTGATGGTAAATTTCGTTTTGTTCCCTTTCAGAAGGTCTCCAAAATGCCATGTTATAATATTATTAAACAAAATATCCCTCTTATTTCTCCCTTTCACAGTTGTAATATGAATGATTAATACAAGGTGCCTGAATCACACCAAATTCCACATTGCTGCACTGCACTGTTAGGCATTTGTTGACAACCGAATTTATGGCCAGGTGGCCCAGTGTAGTTATTTTTGCGCCGTGTTTGCCCACGCGCTCATTCTTCAACTGGGTGACTAGACCTGTATATGTGTATGGCTAAATAAAAATGCGAACAAGTTTTTCAAACATTTCAATGCCGAGTTGTTGCATTAGCAACCGAACCTGGTACATACTGCCAACCTCTTCATTCTTCAATTGAGATCGGAAAGACTATACCTGGTCTGGCAAATCTTCTATGGTGTTCTACAATAGACCTTGTCGAGCTAAACTTTCCATAGACATTATTTATTTAGTCATTGCCAAAACCTTTGATAGAGCACCTATGGAAAAACATGTTAGTATTTGTGGTAATCTACTATAGTTTTCTTCTGTGCCATTACTTTTAGTGTTCAAATTCGAGTTGGTATCTCTTTTTCATACACACACGTTTGGTATTTAGTGGTCTACTGTAAGAGTTGGTTTTAGAATCTCTGTTGATCTTTGCATATGTTGAAAAAAACCTTTTCGCTGTTGAAGGAATTGTTTCAGTGAAAAATCGTCATTCAACATCTCTCGGCTTCAATTTGTATGACGCCCAATTTCCTTGCTTTTGAATCATACCAGGTGCATTTAAACATTTGGAAACTGGTGTGCGATTAACATTCAATAATACAGCAAGTTCATCTTGTGTTTGATATGAATCTTCGTCGAGTTATGCTTCCTATTCCTGATTTTCGAACTTTTTCGGTCGACTAGGGCGTTCTTTGTCAACTGTATCGAAATCACCACTTCTAAAATGTCAAATCCAATACTCACACATTTTTATCTTCAGAGCTGAGAAAAAATATGTTGTTTACAGTTCAGCAAAATGACACATAATATAAAAAAAAGCTTAAAACACAGAACTTTGACATGGATATAGTTACGGAAGTGTTCGAGGCGATATAGCATAAGTTATGTCATCTATTGTAAATTTCTCAAAATTAATTCATCCTAGTAGATGTGGTGTAGTAGACACATGTTCCGTACCCTACTATTATATAATGTTTTGTCCACCTTATTCGGTGTAAACATTGTTGAATAAACTGTGTTATTCACTAGTTGGTGTATGAATTTTTACATCACATCAAATTATGTGTAAACCCTTTACGAAATTAAACTGCACTGCAATAAGGCCTGTATCTCTTAATTGCAAAGTGTGTCAATCTCTACCTTGGAAAAAATAAAATCATCACTATCAGTGCTTCTTGTAAGGTACATTACTAAAAATTTAAACTTCTTACAATGATCTTGGTATTATGATAATGGAAGACCTTTTATAGTTTACCCACATATCTGTTTGCAAAAAGCAGCAAACACTATCTTGAAAAAGACATTTACAAAAGTAAGACTTAACTGTTTTTGTTTGTCTCTACAAGTTATGTCCTATCTTTGCTATTTAAATTAAAACAGATATTTAGATCTTCTTAAGACATTTTAAAAAATTTTTCAAATCTAATGAGTACTTGAAAAATGATAACCTTTTTTTTTAATGTGATTATATATGATAATAAAAATTATGTCATTTATATAATGTTTATTAATTTTATATTAGGAAGTGGAAAAACTGCAGCTTTCTTATGGCCATTATTAAAGCATGTAGCTGCTCAAAAACCTGCTGAGGAAGGTGAAGGCCCCATAGCTTTGATTTTAGCACCTACGAGGGAATTAGCTTTACAAATCTATAATGAAACAAAGAAATTTGCCAAAGTATATGATTTAAAGGTTATATGTGCATATGGTGGGGGCTCAAAGTGGGAGCAAAGTTTGGTAAGGTCATAGAATCATAAAATATTTCGCAATAAAATATCCATTTTTGTCAGGCTTTGAAAGAAGGTGCTGACATTGTTGTCGCAACTCCTGGAAGAATTATTGACCATGTTAAAAGCGGAGCGACAGATCTTCAAAGAGTGACATTCTTAGTTCTCGATGAAGCTGATAGAATGTTCGAATTAGGTTTTGAACCACAAGTGAGATCTGTTTGTAACCACGTTCGTCCAGATAGGCAAACTTTGTTGTTTTCGGCCACATTCCGCAAACGAATTGAGAAATTAGCAAAAGATGCTTTGACAAATCCTATAAGAATATCTCAAGGTATTACTGGACAAGCCAATGAGGATGTCACACAGCACGTTTTCATCTTACCAAACCAAGAATCTAAAAGAGAATGGTTGTTCAACAAACTTGTGGAACTTTTATCTGCCGGTTCTGTTTTGGTTTTTGTCACAAAGAAATTGGATGCAGAACAGGCTAGTAATTTATAAAAATACATTTTACAATGCATCATCAAAAATCAATTGAGTAATTTAATATATTCGCTTTTACTTTTAATTTTATACCAAAATCGAAAAACTATTTCTCATCAGCATCTTTGAAGAGTAAATATATTTCCAGGTTGCTAACGATTTAAAAGTGAAAGAATTTACTTGTCTACTACTTCATGGAGACATGGAACAGGCAGACCGTAATAAAGTTATCACAAGCTTTAAAAAAAATGAATGCTCTTTATTGGTAAGTTTTTTCTAATTCATAGATACATTTCCAGGGTTCATAGTTCAAAAGTAATATAGAATTCCCTGACTTTTCCAGGTTTTCCCTGACTTATAGAAAAAAATCCAAGTCACTTGTTCATTTTTACATACCAAAGCCTTCTATTTCAACTGTTATCGAAATCACCATTTCTAAAATGTCAAAACCAATACTTATACGTTTTTATCGATGAAGTATGTTCACCGTAAGATTCCAACAGCACTCGATGATTTTTAGCAGCACTTTTCTTTATTGGCTTGTAATTCGATATCTTTAGAGCTGAGTAAAAATATGTTGTTTACACTTCAGCAAAATGACACATAATAAAATATACAGCCTATTGACAGAGCTTTGACATGAATATAGTTACAAAAGTATCTCATGTGATATAGCATAAGTTACACTGTCTATGTAAATCTCTCAAAATTAATTTACAGTCCTAGTAGTTTATATTTAATGAAGAACATATTTTATTGTGTGGTATATTAAAACAGTTTACTGAATTATAATTTAAAAGAAACATATTTTATGTCCTTAAAATAACGTATCGAACACTAATATTTGTTATTTGTGTTACTGGATGGAATTGTTAAAAAAAAATCTGTTCAGTACGTGGAAAATATATTTTATTTGTTTGGCAACTAGTAGAAAATGGATTGCACAAAAAGTGCTGTATCTGATCTGTATTGCATATTTTGTGTCAATATTTTAACAGGGATAAACTTAACATCACACCTAATTAATAATTAATTATACAGAATTTAGCACTTTATGACGGCACTGTAACTGTACAGATCGACACTGTACATTTCAAAAGTGCAGAATAAAACCATTTAAATGGGAATGGAGATGTTTTACAAAAATCTTCGGACACTGCTATATAAAAACTTATACTTCTTTACAAAAATCAATATCTGGTTGTTGTCGAAAATTTTTTTAATGGCAAACCCATAATTTTTTGGCAGATTTAAAAATTTGTAAAAAAAAAATTGACATGAAATGTAGAACGAATATAATTCGAAAAATTACTACTGGTCAAATTATCGTCTATTGACTTGCTGGCAATGTACCAGCTGATTCCACAGATGAAACTAGAATTTCCATCGATAAAAGAATATTAAATACCAACAATAGGCATGTTGACAGTAACCAAGAATCATTACAATTATGTTATTATCATATCATCATTAAATCATCATCATTAAAATCATCATCATTAATAATTAAATCATTAAAATTATGTATTATCTAATGAAATATGATTCATGGATTATAAAAAATTTATTTTTATATTATGAGCGAGATCGATAATATTTTTGATGAAATAAAACTACAAAATACAGCAAACCGCCACCAATGAGAGTGAATTACGTCACATCTATGTAAATGTCATTTTGTTTCATGTGTACTTCGACAAAATCCACGGTATTTATCTTCGTTTAAATATTTTGTGTTTCTACTATCTGTTGCTTAGTTTTGTGTTACCAAAACCATAATCATGAAATGTTAGCCATGGAACAAAACCATGAAACGCGATAGAATGGAGGATGAAGTGAGGAAAACTGTAAGTACCAGACTGAGAAAAAAATTTAAAAAATGTGGTATAATGCTTTGCAAAAACTATCCCATGATAGCAGGATTGGCTGATGGAATCTGTGAAGACAGTATTATTGAAATTAAGTGCACCACAAATATGAAGAGTTTTAAAAATTATGTATAAAAAGGAAAACCGACCCAGAAGTTTTATGTGCAAATGGCAGCTACAAATGTATTAAACAGGACTTCAAAAGGGCTATTTCAATGTAGCTGATTGCAACTACAGTACAAATAAAAAGTAGAAGTAATTAAGGACGTTCGGTAGAGATAGTGGGGGGAAACATTTGCGGGGAAAAGGGAAACTAGCGATGAGTAAAAACTTGACAACGCCGTACGGGTCTTCAATGTGTGAGTGTTCATGTACACGCATCAGGTGCCTACACTCTGCACTGTCTGCTCGTCTGCTGCGTCGGTTACGGCAGCGTATGTGTATGTTCAATTTGTTTGTGATAAAGCTGCAAGTATTTGACTTTTATTTGTTATAAAAATGTAATAAAAATGAATAAATAAATAATTAAAAAGACTTGTGACAATTGTATTTATATTCATAGATTTCATTCGTAAAAATGCCCAAAGCCAAACAGTATAACCTCCAAACTACGAAGAATGAGAATCTTGCGACGATGCCGTTGCGTTTCTGTCGAACTCTTATTTATTTTTTATTCATAAACGAATCAGATGATCGTCGCGAAACTTGGTATACATTAAACTAATAACATTATCTGTGACATATAAAAAAATTGGCGAAATTCATTTGGCCAATTTTCTTAAAACTGAGTTTTTATCAGTTTTCCCATAAGTGACCGTGTTAAAATGACTGAACTTTGAAATTCAATATCTCGAAAACGAAACAGATGAACCTCTTGAAATTTTGACAGGTTTATTGTAACAACAATAAGAACGTCTGGTCAAAATTTCAAAAAAATTCATTGGAGGGTTTTATCTCTACCGAACGTCCTTAATGCTGCATTTGATGACAACTATGAATGAGATTTTCTTAATGTTTTAGACTTATGTGTATCCATTATTATACTAGAGTACAATTTGAATGATAATGATAATGAATCTAGCAACACAAAATATTAGCACCTTGTGTTTACTGTTGACAAACATAGATGTGACGTCACGTAGACACCATGACACTGTCGATCGTTTTTGCGTGAGTTTAGACTTAAAATTAAAATGTTAATATTTTTCTACTAAACCTTTGATTTTCTACAGAAATAAGATATTTTTGGGAAATAGTAAATACTTCCGAACATCATAGAACAGTTTTTCAAAATCTGTCATCATGCCTATTCTTGCAAGCAAAGGACAACGCACTAATTACATTAAAACGTTGTCTCGGTCAAAATTGAAAATTGCTATGAAGTTATTTTTGGCCTCTGGAATAAAGTTCCGATCTTAAAAACCCCGGTAGATGGTTAATTTATCTGTTTTTGGCCACTTTTATTCCTTTTTCAGACATGTGTGTAGATGAAATAAAAACGCAATGCGGATAGCGATGTCACCCATTTGCAAGGAAGGTAAAACCAACAACATACTGTCACGCCACCCGCACCCTTAACATGAAAATGAAATGTGCTTATTAAAAACATCAGTATTTGTACTGGGTATATTTGTATATTTGATTTAAATACTTAGCCCATATTCGAAGATTAGGAAAAGTTCATTTGAGAAGAGAAACTAAAAATATCAGCAAATATATTTTAATTGTCAGTGTTGCGAGAAACAACTACTCCGAAGGCTATATGTCCCTACCGGCATTGAATTATACTCGCAACACCTAGTGCAACAGCTAGGGTCGTTCGTCAGTTTAACTCACCAGGCACAGACCGTTTTCGGATTTATTAGTCCTCGTCAGTGTGTCATAGGTGAGACAACCGACAAACGAACCAGCGGTTTTGTGTCGTATCGTCACGACAAGGAAATACATTGTACGCGGGAGCGCGAATGGCTCCATCAGTCAGCAAATATATGTTTGTGATTTTATTGGTTTTTTATGTAAATTAAATGCAAAATTAATATATAGGCGTAAAATACATCTAATTGTATCTTTAAAAGTATATAGAAATAGTTTCTGTTTAGGTTGCCACGGATGTTGCAGCCCGAGGTTTAGATATTCCACATGTTAGAACTGTCGTTAATTATGATATTGCGAGGGATATTGACACCCACACCCACAGAATTGGAAGAACAGGACGTGCTGGAACTCAGGGGACTGCGTACACTTTGTTAACACCCAAAGATAAAGAATTTACGGGACACATCGTAAAAAACTTGGAAGCAGCTCATCAAGAAGTCCCTCAAGATGTATTAGATCTTGCATTGCAAAGTTCTTGGTTTAGAAAGCAAAGGTAAGAGATAATACTAAATTATTACTACTAAACCTAGACCCTACCATCCTGATTACAAACATTATTAATTTTTTTGTAATAGTATCGTTACTGTTCACTCACTGTATAATTTTACTGTATACTATGTTTTTATCCCTTTTAATTAATTAATGTATATATATTTAACGTTTTACTAATTTGTGGTGTGTGTTTGACTTGCAACAATGTTTGCCACCTTCATATATTACCTTAAATGAAATAATGTGGCAAAAAAATTAGAACGACACTTTTTATTTTTGTGTGAAATCATTATTTAGTTGGCATTTTAAAAAAAAAATAGAAATGTAAATCGAATTTGGCAGACAATCGCAACATGCTAGACTGTGCTTTAACTGCGCCATCTGTTAATAGAAAATTCAACTTAAATCTTATAGTGGCCTTCGTTTATTTACTAATAGAAGTTTTCTAATAACATCCATAGTCTAGTATGTCAGAAAGATAATGACAATGGAGTACAATAATTCAAATATAAATTTTTAAAGTAAAAAAAAATGTATACAAAATGGTATCAGCGAAATTGCGTATATAGTTTGCATTGATTTTCATTGTATTGACTAAACAATTATACAGGGTGGGCCACCAGTAACGCCTCGGTCCCTAGGGACCAAACGGCAAATGTTATAGAAACCTGTTTATGTGGGTTTGTGTAGGTTGATTATAGCTATATTTTAAAAATATTTTGAAATATACAAGGTATCCAGTAGTGCTGGCAACTGAAATAGGTTTTTTGGATAGTCGGTTAACCGGTTTCGGATAATTCGCATTTTTACGAAATCCAAAAACCGGTTATTCGATTCTTCAAATATCCGATTATTCAAATAACCGATTATCCAAATAACCGATTATTCAAATAACCAATTATTCGATAATCTGTTCATTCAAACATCCGAATAATCGAATAACCGATTATTCGGTAGTTACTTTCTGAAAACTCTCCATTCTCTGCGTGTGCATGCACACACATAGTACATAAACAGTCTTTGTTACTTGGTGTCTGCATGCCTTGCGTCTTCTGACCTGACGGATTAGCGGCATGCCTTTGATTTTTTTTAAATGCACGGCGATAGGATGATTTATGTTATGACAGTATGACTGTTTTTATTTTTATTCGGAAGCGCTCTTTGTCGGAGTCGGAATAATATGACCTGACACCTGATGTGATTATTGTACTATAGTAGTTGAGCCGACTACATAGACCAGCGGTTTGTTTACATTTACATCTAATGCCTGCAAATTTGATCTATTTATTTAGAGTTAGTCGTTCTTAAGATTTTGTAAAGATCAGTTCAGCTGCTAAATTGTTTGAAAGCTTCCAAAAACAATTTAAACAAAATGGAAATATTTAAAAAAACTGAAATCTCACATAATATGTTTTTTGTGCAAAACTAAATTAAAGTATTCAAGTGGGACTTCTAATATGTGGAATCATCTAAAAAGTAAACACGTACACATTGGAGAAAAATTAAGGAAAAACAGAAAGGGGAGGTAAGTTTATGTTTTTAAAGATATGACATAATTATGAAATTAATTAGGGTTGAAAATTAACAAGACATTTTTTATAATGTAATAAGTTGTAATTTGTATTTTGAAATGTAAATTACTCGGGAAAATAATTACATGAATATGTTTATTTGAATTTGTATAATCAATCATTCTGTTGAGGATTAACATGGTTATCAAGTAAGTTCATTTCCCTTTTACAGAGAAATAAATGCTGAATCAGAGCCAGGGCAATCTCACAGTTTTGATTCTGAAATAGACCTAATAGGCAAAACTGAAAGGGCAACTGAAATTTCTGAAGCAGACACTGACTGAGATTCAGAATCAGAATCTTGTTCAACATTATCTGCTACGCCACAGTTAACTCAAATGGAAATAGATCACTTCTTTTTGCCAAAAAAAAATCTGCATTAAAAAAACAAGAAGCAACCACAGACGCCATTGTAAAATTGATAGTGAAAGATATGTTGCCTCTTTCATTTGTGGAAGGAGCGGGCTTCATTGACTTCATGAAACAAATAATGCCAATCTACAAAATCTCAAGTCGCAACTCAATCAAAACTAGAATTTCTTTACTTTATGATGTAGAAAAACAGAGAATTATGAACGAAGTGGATAACATTGATTGGGCGTCATTAATAACAACAGACTGTTGGTCTTCGCGTAATACTGATTCATTTATTACAGTTACTTTACATGCAATTTCAAAAAATTGGGAGCATATCAATTACACACTTACGACGGAATTTATGGAGGATAGACATACTGCTACAAATTTAAAAACAAAATTGGAAAATATAATAGTAGACCATAGTAGACAACGCAACAAATATTGTCAGTGCGGTTAGACAATCAACAATTGAAGAAAGTATTTGCTGCTTTGCTCATTCGTTACAACTGTGTATAATGAAAGGTATTCAAATTGAAAGCGCCCAACAATTGATCACCAAATGTTCTTCTATTGTAGGACATTTCAAACATTCTAACGTAGCCACCAATGCTCTTAGAGAAGCTCAAAATAATTCTAGCCTTCCAAATCATAAATTAATACAGCATGTAAAAACGCGTTGGAATTCCGTTTACTATATGGTTGATAGAATTGTTGAACAAAGGCAGGCAATAGTGAGCGTTATCCAAAATTATAGTATAACATCAAGATCACATGCCATTAATTTTGAGTTAAAAGAATCAGACTGGGATTTATTGGAGGCATTGGTAATTATTTTGAAGCCTTTTACATTAATTACAGCAATAATGAGTTCCGAAAATTCACCTACCATCTCAATAGTACTACCTATCGTAAAATCCTTACTTGAAAATTTTTTTTAAAGGTTAATGATGCTGATTTAGAAGAAATCAAGTATTTTAAGGAAACTGTATCTGAACAATTAAAATCCAGGTTTGACTTAGACAGTGAAAATAAAGAAATAAAATTTCATGATATCACAATTTTTTTGGACCCTCAGTATAAAATGCATGAAAGCAATATTGGAAGAATTGGGAAAGTGAAATCTAAAATTAAAGAACTATTACTGCTGAGTAGTACAAATGTTGAGCCAGTTACAACAACAAACATTCCTTCTACTTCTAAAACAGCTGTAGAATTTTTATTTCCCACAAAGCTAGGCCCATCTCATATTACGAAGGATCCCATGGATAATGAAATAGAGGTTTATTCAAAGGAGTGTGAAATTGACAAAAATTGGTGGAAAACAAATGAACATCGATTTCCGTATCTCAGTTATTTAGCTAGAAAATATCTTGCCGTACCAGCAACATCCACGCCTTCGGAGTGAGTGTTCTCTAGTGCGGGTAATATAGTGACGGCTAAAAGAAGCTGTCTGTCGGGAAATACTGTCAATATATTAGTTTTCTTAAATAATAATTTTAAAAAGCAATAACCTTAAAAAATTTTGTTTAGCTTAGAAGAGTTTAGTTTAGTTTAGAGTTATGTTTACCGTTTTTTTTTTAATTAACAATTATTGTTAATTTTAGAAAATTAATGGTCATGCTAAGTTTTGTTTAGTTTAGTTTGGAATCGTTGTTTATATTTAGGTGTTTTCTGTCATTTTTCTTAATAATGATTTAAATATAATCACGTTTCACAATTCACGTTAGTTTTGAGTTTTTTATTTTATTTTATTTTTAATACATATACACTTACCTATGGAAATTATACTTAGACGTTATGTTAAATGCATAATGAAAATTAAAATTCTATAGAAATTATTAGTTTCTTACAACAACTAAGTACATAACACTATAATATAGTCTTCTTCTTCTTCTTCTAGTGGTTGGTCCTAATAAGTCCCGTAGCACTGCGGCCTAATTAGGCCTATTGTGTGTCCCACTACTAGTCCTATTCAGCAAGTAGATTTGTTTTTTTTACAAAGTCCAAAAGCTTCCCTGCTGGCACTTCTCTCAGTTCCTTGGNCAAGTCGTCCGAATAGCCTTGTGTATAAAATCCCTTTCGATTAAGGCCCTCCAGTGCGCCGTCCACCACTAATCCCCATAACAAGGGAGACAGTACGCCTCCCTGGAGGCAGCCCCATATAATATAGTCTTAGTTGTAGTGTTATGTAGTTATTGACATTGGTTACATATAGTACATACCTCGTAGATACCTACTACATACTACTAAAAATTAGGTCAACTATTAAGGGATATATAATTTATATTTATATTTTATCCTGGGATACATACATAGACTAATAAAAAAATAATCACCCACACGCCCACATACACCAACCACCAAACAAAAAAAGCGATTTATATAAATAATAAATTGAAGAATCAAAATTTATTAAGTGTAACTGTTTTAACATTTTAACTTTCACCAGTTTTGAACTTACCTTGTGTGTGGCTAAAGCTTTAATTGCAGCTTGACTATCGGAGAATATATATATATGAGTTTACGTCTATACCCTCTACGTACATTCTCGGCCAGACACGCCATTATCGCGAAGATTTCTGCTTGGAATACGGTAGGGAACTCCCCCAGACTGTAGCTTGCACTCCATCTGGGTCTGAGTCCATATATTCCTGCACCCGTCCCTCTGGTCATTTTGGAGCCATACTAGTAGCATACTAGGCTCCACCTTTCCAGGGTATTAAACCTTTCCTCCCACTTACTTTGATCCTCTATTCGAGTCTCAAATGGCTTGTGGAAGTGAAACCTTGGAACCATCTTGTCAAATACAGGGTGATCGAGAATGATTGACCGTGCCACCTCATACATTTTTGATGTGCGGCATACAAGTTTTTGATACCAATACTAGAATCATGAGCGCAGGTTGAGGGATTTTAATGGTAAACAAATAATTACGTTCAAACGTCAAATAAGTTAGGTTACTGTCAAAATGGAAATTCATAATAAAAATATCAATTATTTAACAAAAATCAAAGTTATTTCACAAATTAAGCAATACTGATGGACCAATAAATGTTATTATTGTTATTAT